TGTTTATTTTGCGTTTATTAAGTGATGGCTGTGGTATATTAGCTTTCACTGCTATAAGCTTTCGCAGCAGTGATTGATTAATTTAAACACCTGCTCTACTGATGGTCTATCGGAGTTGGTGTTTAGGTTGAAGATAAAGAACACCTTTTATTTGAAGCTTCTTGTAGCTTCTGTTTTAATCCCGGCTTCACCTAAAACTTTTTCCTGACTTGGATAGTGTTGCCATTCAGTAGCAAGCACTGCGCCCCTTTTTCTTTTATATGTACACGTACATTTAAGATTTAGCGTGTTATGTTGACAACTCATGAGCAAGCTGCTTTTTGCAATCTAGCAGGAAGGTAAGGATAGGATCTTGCAGGTGTGATGTCACTCTGCAGGGGGTCCAAAGATAAAAGATTTAAACAATTTTGGCATTGGAATTTCAGATTTAAGGGAGTTAGAAAGTTCACTTAGTAAAAGTGCAAATAATAAATCTGATTACCGATTACTTTTAAGCTGGTTGAACATACTGCGACAGACTGGTGACCTGTCCAGGGTGATCCCACCTCTCACCCAGAACGTGGCTGGAGATATGCACCAGCACCTCCTGATCCCACTGAGGGATAAGGTTAAAGAAAATGGATGGTTGAACATAGTCCGCTCTCCCAGATTCTATCAAATCAGTGCTGGTGGATGTTCTTGACAGAAAGACGGATTTGCTTAATCATATTCTGCTTAAGGCCCCATAAGATCTTGTCTGAGTCCTGGTTTAAAAGTAAATTAATTTTAAAAAGTGACCCAAAATTGACTGTCAATAAATGTTCTACAAAATTGATATATTTATTTGATTTCTACTGTCTGTTTAGATTTATGTGATATTTTTTGCACAAAATATATAAGTGAATATTGTAACAGTTATGTTTTCAACTGTAAGCATTAAATTGATAAATGTTATTCGCATTTTTTTGGCTTTATACTTTCCAACAAAAAAAAAAAAAGGCGTCGCGCAGGTAGCTCCCTTTCCTTATGAGCCGTCCCCACCAACTTTCAACACAAAGTTACACCCTTGTCTTAGACAACGCCTTAGCAGGTGCACTGAAAAAATTTTGGCGCGCGCTTTGCGCGCGCAATATCTTCTAGGGGCTGAGCCACCCTTGCCTCTTAAACCTAGAGACGCCCCTGCCCGGAAGTTAATGGAGAAATCCGCTACAGAAGAATTTCCCTGTCTTAGGTTCAAAAGAGCACGAGAGGCAATGGTTTGATCAGTTTCTTGGTTAAATACTTGAGAGAATTCGGAAACAAAATCAGTGTATTGACAACTGAGGCTTTCTTCGGAGGCAAAACTTGCCTCCGCCCACTCAAGGGCTCTTCCAGTCAGTTGGGACAGAATAAAAGTTATTTTCTTTTGATCAGTTGGGAAACTGCCAGGAGAGTTTTGGAAAATTAAACGGCATTGAAACAAGAATCCTTTACAGTCCTTCATATTACCTGAAAACTTCTCAGGAAGACTAGGGCGGAACTCAGGTGATGACGTCACCGCCGGTGACCTCGGAGGCGGAACTGGACCCGGAAATGGTTGGGCTACCGGCGTGGCGTTAGCACTGCTCATGTAGTTAGCATAACTCTAAAGCATTTGATTATGGTAATTGACCATACAATGTAACTCATGGAGGGTTTGAGTTTGTCCCTGGATTTGAGCATCTTGCTCCTCCAACCGACGACGGAGGTGATCTGCTGGGCCTTGTGTTTGGCCGCAGTGTTCTGTCATGATGGGTTTCAGAAAAGCCCAGTATGCAGAACACCACGGAAAACAGATGAAAAGTTTAACAAGTTTTATTGAACACAAGCACATGGAATAAACACAGGAACTGGTTCAGGCCTGGGGGCAGGTTCACTGGAGTCTGTGAGGATGACAGTTCAGTTAGCTTGGGAGCAGATGAGTTTGAGTTTGAGAGTTTCTGATTTATACCTTGAGGAGTCCGGGTTTGGCTTTGAGAGAGGAACTGTTGGGTCCAGAGACTGTTTAGTTCAGCAGAGTCCGATAACCGCTTCAGCGTCTTACTTCTAGCGTGAGGGCAGACCTTGGCTTTGGGTTTCCAGCTCTTAGTCCAGAGCAGCATGGGAATCCAGAGAAGAGTCTTCAGGTTTGGCTCAGAGGGCAGGCTCGGCAGGTTAAGCTCATCCAGAGCTTACAAGGGAAACTGGATTCCAAACTGGATAAACACTGCGGCGTTGAGGCAAGGTCTGAAGGCAGGTTATATACTGGAGGGATCCTCTTGATGATGAGATGCGCCACAGGTGTGTCGAAGGCTCAGCTCAGGAGGATCCACGGCGAACTCTGCTGGAGAAAGGTGGAGCTTCTCCAAATCCCAACACCAGATATCTGTCTTAATTGATAATTGTTGCACAGTGGGATTCATGTTCTCTTCTTTCAAGCTAATCCCCTCCAAAAAACATACATAACTATTAAAGATTAATGCAAAGTCAACAATGCAAAGGAGGGAAAGGTCCACTGTTGCCTCATGGTTATTTAAAAGGAGGAAATAATAAAAGTCAGGACTCAGTGTCATCTTCGAATATTTCATAATAAAATTTATTTAAAATGTGCTTACTTAATCTGGAATCTGTCTTAATGAATTGATTGAATTGTATTTTTTTGTAAGGTGTCTCATGACATTTGTTTTGAATTTTGCACTGAATTCGTTGTATTAATTGGCACACAGAAAGACTTAATTTACCAGTTAGTTGACTTTGGAAGGTATTTTGTACACTTATATCATATTATTTGGAATCAATATGAAGGCAAATCAAACACAACACCTTTTCAGATCTCTATTTGACAATAAAACATTTTCCTTTTCTGTTACTTAGGCATATTTGAAAAAAAAAGAACAACAAAAAATTATGGATAAATAGAGAACCCAGGTGCAGGGATTAAGGGAAACACAGGTGAACTGCATTGACTGCACTGACTGAGGGAAGAATGTTTCAAAAGGGATAAATGATGAAACACACAAGGAGGAAAGAAAAAAAAAAAATCTTGGAATAATCATCAAATAAAGACAAAACCAACTAGGAACACCAGACAATAATAAAAAAAAGATATAGTCTTGATAAAAATGAAAAGAAAAGTAAACATAAGAACATCCAAATCAAAAAACTATGATGCCCTACTTATTGTTCTGTCTATTAAATAGATTAAAATAGGGTTGGGAATTGAAAAGATTTTCACGATTCCGATTCCCTTTTCGATTCTATGAAACGATTCGATTCTTTATCGATTCTTTTTTCGATTCCAATTTGGGGGAAAAAGGAGAACAAACAGTTTGATTATCAGAATCAACTTTGTTTACTTAACTATTGCACAATCTTACAAACTCAACAAGATCAAGATGTCCACAGGAAATGTGAAACTGGAGTAACATCTGTGTTTAAATGAAAAATGAATACAAGAACAAACTTAATAACCAACAATGTCTAATAACAAATGATGGGATAATAACCTATTTTAAATAACAAAAAATACTAATTATAAAACAGTAGTAGGGAAAATTAAGTTATTTTGCAGAAAGATGAGCATATCTGCTTTTTCTGGAAGGATACGGGATCTTTCAGGGCTTATGGTGTCTCCAGCCGTGGAGAACACCCTCTCAGATGGGGTGGAGGAAGCCTGCACACAGAGGTAGTTTTCAGCCTGTCCAGATAGCAAGGGCAGCGTATCTTGCTTGTTCCACCACCACCACAGTGTGGCGCTATCCCTGCAGGGGATGGAGGGCAAGCTTTTATAGAGCTGGATTTCCTGATCTACCCTCTGGGCTAAGGAAAGACGGGGCTTTGATTCACAAAGTGACCGCAGCTCGTTGTCTTCCTCCTCGAATAGTTCTTCTAACTTGCGTAACTTGCGTAAGTTGCGTAACTTACGTAAAAAAACGTGACGTAAGTCGTGCTCCCTAGAGCCGGCGCACTAGGCTCTGGTGCTGCGGGAATCGAAAAAAGAATCGTTCAGCGAGCTGCCAAACGATGCCATGGAATCGGAAAATACGGAACCGGTTCTTAACAGGAACCGGTTTTCGATTCCCATCCCTAGATTAAAAATAGGGTTTGAATGAATCTGCAGTTGAAGTAACATCTGAAAAATATATCTATTTTTTACTTTTCATAACAATGGCTAAGAATTTTCAAAAATAGAGTCGAGTTTCAGAGAATGTTCAGCTATGACCAGTCAAAGTATCTTGGGGCTTTCACTAGATATGATTCCATATTCCTTAAAAGAAATAAGTGTAAGAAACAGACTTACCTCCATAAGTCAGCCATGGTGCATGGCCATATTTTTCTGCACTGCTAACACTATGCAAAAAGCTAGGGGGCATCAAATCCCCTTTGTCTGGATTAGTTTGGGATGCTGAGATGGATACTTTTCTTTTGACTGTTTGAGTCACCTCCCCAATGAGCGGCACACTGGATGGTTTTCCTTTGTCAAACAGGGCCACCAGTGCTATTTGTAAAAAACATTTTTTTTCTTTAATGTACACTGTTAAGCACATACATAGAGGATAAGAACAAAAAGCCACAACCCGTCAACACCCCAACAACTAAGAAAACAGAAACATCTTTCTTGGTGTGAAGCTTTATCCCTGAGCCTTTTTCCAAAAAGATGCTACCAAAAATTGTTAAAAGTTCATGTTCTGATTATTTAGTTGTACTTGCACCTGCAAAGCCAATTAAGATATTACGGGGAAGTTAAACATTGCTCTTTAATATGACAGGTTCCTCCAAGACATGATCTGATTTAAGACATGCCAGAATAACAATGTCATTGTCTTTGCAGAGATATAGATTTGTCTTTGGTTAATAACAGATTACCTTTTCTTTAATGTTAAACCTTTTGTGATGTGAATGTGTTGTATAGAGAATGTGTTTTGAATTACACAGCTTTCTCTGTGTAATTCAATGCAAAGTGTTTTCTCACATTGCATTCTGATGTGTGACTCATAGGAGGGAGGGACTTAGGAGGGAGGAAATAGGTTTGACTTAATGGATTTCCCGCCCCTGAGCAACCGATAAATCAAGAAACAGGAAGAAAGAGTGAAGTCCTGTTTTCTGAAAGATTTCCACCAAGTTAACTTTGAAAGCTCACGTGGTTACAGTGGAGCAGAAACACAGTAAGTATAACTTACACAGCCTTTTCTGTTTCTTTTGGGAAATACTTTTGTTCCTCTCTGTTCCAGTCACGAACTTTGCAATGCTTTCACTTCAAAAAGAAAAGAGGAATACAACAAGTAATCATTGCAAGTTTTAAAGAACCAATCCAGAGACTAAGCTACATGATGTTTCTCTCTGTTTCTCAAGTATCTGTTCAGTTTTTATAGATTTTAAAGTTACAAGCTGTGTAAACACTCTCACTGAGAGATGACAATGAGGAGCAGCAAGACGTTTAAAGATGAGGACTTGGAAAAATGGCGTAAGATTGATACTGGGGGGTTCGGTACTGTCTACAGAGTCTTTCACAATAAAATGACAACAGATGTCGCCGTCAAGATTCTTCATCAGGATGCATGGTATACATTTATTTGATTATGATTCAGGGTAAAATATAATCTGTTGTTTAAGATGATAAGCTATCCTTTGTCTAGATGAATGAATATTTAACTGTTTTATATGTATTGTCAATTGACTTTTTCAGCTCCTCTGAAACACTGATCAAAGAGGCTAACAATCTGAAAGAAATGTCCTCTTCATATGTTCCGAAGGTGTATGGAATTTATCAGGGAAAGCCACCTCATGAAAATTCAGAGAAGCAGGGAATAGTCATGGAGTTTATGAAAAGGGGATCTATTCACACCCTGCAGAAGGACTTATGTGGTCCTCCACCACTGCCACTAGCCGTTCGATTGGCCCATCAAGTGGCTTTGGGGATGCAACACCTTCATTTAAAGAACTTTCTTCACCATGACCTTAAACCAAGCAATGTTCTCCTTGATGACAACTTCAATGCCAAGGTAAAGTATTAGTAATGTAAGCCTATTTGTCTGCTTTTTTTTTTTTTTTTACAATAAGACTAAAATATAACTTGGTTGTATTTTTCCTTTAACATTTCTCAGCTGGCAGACTTTGGTCTTTCCAGGGTGACCACCAGTGTTTTATCCAATTTTGATCAACCAACAGGGCGTTCAGGCACTTTTAAGTACATGCCACCTGAAGCTTTTGATTTAAACTATAAACCCGTTCGCTCTTTTGATGTTTACAGGTAAAAAATGGTTACATGAATCACATATTGGATGAAGTACTTGGCCTATTATTATTTTCTTCTGTAGATCAACTTCTCATTAGGCTGTTATCCTGAAGTAAGCACACAAATTCAGCAGTAAAAATGCAAACAGAAATCAAAGCAAACCAGTCTATTGGATACGCTAAATAAACTGGATATAAAGTATTGACTATATATATATATCCACTGAAATCTGTTGAATATATTTCTCAGTATTGAAATTACTGTAATGCCATGAAATTCTCAATAAGTTTATATTCAGATCCTTACTTAGAATGACCTGGCACTTTTCTCCCTTTATACTTATCAGAAATTTGCCAGTACCATGCAAACACACAGGGCCACAACATGATGTTTATCATCCAGCCTTCGTCATTAGGGGTTTTTGGGTTGAGGCATTTATTAGTCAACATGACATGTAACATCCAAAGAGTTAAATTTTACTCTCAGCTCAGCACAGTATATGTATGTTCCCCCATTATTTCATTGATATGTTACTGGAATAATCTTAAGCAACAATTAAAAAGGTTAAAACACCTTTCTTCCTCTGTGGTAAAGTCCATGACATTTAATATACATTAAATTACTTGCCATTTTATTCCATGATTGCATTTTGCATGTCCTAAGGCAGGCAAGGAAATGTTTTTGTTTTGTGTACTTCTTTAAACCATACCAAGTTCAAGTCACTAGCTTAATTTGAGAAAAGTATTCACCAATAAAAACACTGATGCATTCAAGTATTGTTTCTCTTGCAGGATGTAGAAAAAATGGAAAAATCACAGCTGTTTTAATCTAAAAAAATCTGTTTTGTTTATTTTTTTTTCTATCAGCTATGGTATCCTCCTTTGGTCTGTCTTTACTGGTGAAGAACCCTATGAGTGTATGACTAATTATCTTTTAATAGACAATTATCTTTTTCAAACCATTCTTGAGTAATATTAAAACTATGCATTGTTTCTGCCACGAAATGTCACATTGCTTACATAGTTTATTCCTTTCTATCTATACAAATACATATCCAGGGTGTACACCTACCCTTGTGGTGCTCAAGATTCCAAAGGGAGACCGGCCAGATGTCATTCTTTGCCTGAAACAGGAGAAAGACGAAAAGAAGGAAATAGTTGAGCTGATGAAAATTTGCTGGGATGGGACACCATCCAAAAGACCTAACTTTGATGGTATGGCTGGGTTTGGTGTGGAAAAGAGATGTTTATATATTCCTTTTATATGTTCCTGGTTGTTAGCATCTTGGACTAAATTTTATGCATCGATCTGGTAATTATCGAAAAACAGGCTTAAATGGGAGGCCACCAGATTTTGATTAAGCATAACTCTGGTTTCCTTTAAGCCTATTTGTTGTTGTCATGACAAGATGACAGAATTGGCACAGACATCTTTTAGTACATGCATGGCCAAAGCCAGACTTTGAGGGCCACTGTCCAGCAGGTTTTAGAGGTTTCTCTGCCTCAGGACAGCTGACTCTGATTGCAGTTCAGCAACAGCTTGTTGATCAACTATCAAAAGAGATCATCTGTGCTAAAATAGGAAAACCTCTAAAGCCTGCAGGACAGCGGCCCTTAAGGGGGCCGACTTTGGTTTTAGTGAGCTAGATATTTAATAATTCAAAGAAATCAAAGCTATTTAAAGACAAATGCTTTTTTTTTTCTTTTTCAGAAATTGTCAAAATCACTGCTCGTGTGTTCTCAGATCATGAGGATGGAATTGATGCAGCCATTGAAGAAGTCAAATTAAAACTAGAACAAAACGTAATCCAGAACACCATTCCTTCCTAAATGTCTGCTTCCCTCTTTGGCTCTTATTCCAAAATCATTACCTGTCTTTTCCAGCAGTCAAATGTAAGCCATCAACATCATCAGACAAATGCTGCATCCTTGGCTTCTTTAACACTTCAAGGTAGATTAATGATTGTTTCTAAACTGTGTTACAACCTGCTATGAAATTGATAAATGTTTTATCTCTTTCAGAAAATACAGAGGGAAATGATACTGTTGATTATGCAAGAACCATAGAAAAGGTATCAAGATTCAATGAGTGTGAACTTGTATCAGAAAAAAATATGTACATTCAATCATCAATGGCTTTTTTTTTATCAAGCAGAATTTCTCTGCTTTTTTCCCCCCATCATGTTATTTTCTTACCTAAGATTTAAAACCCAAGGAAAGATTATTCTATTACAGTGAATTCACATTACTTGTTCCTATTTTAGTCAAAACCCCTTTTGGTAATTTTTTTCCATGCTAAATATTGCTTAGTTACTCAGTTTGTATATTTTCTTTTTTTCCCCCAGGAAATCCCTGCCGCCGATGAAGCAAAACATTTGACTGAGAAAGACAAAGGTTTGTATTGTTGCTGTTTTATAAAAATGCCATATAAAAATATATATATTTTATTTATATATATTTTATTTATTTTATATATATATATATATATATTTATTTAATTTGATTCTTTTTTTGTCCCCCACAACAAATAAAATACACAGCAAACCTTGTTGATGACATGAGAGCAGATATAATACAGGAATCCACCAATGTCATGGCACTGGTTGAGGAGCTACGCAAGATGAGGATGGTTACCGGGGAAACCTATTCTATCATTGAAGAAACAAAAACAAATCAGGACAAAATGAGGGAGATTTTCCGAATGGTCTTACGTCAAGGTGATATGGTCAAAGCTGCCTTCTATGACGCATTGAAAAAACACGAACCACATATACTAAACAGTCATGGTACGACTATCTAATAATAATTACATAAGATTTTTTATTGTTCAGGTCTTTCATTTTTTTTCTCTTTCCCCTATCAGATGGCAGCTGATGATGCATCAGGAGACCAAAGGTTTTAGTGTTTTTGTCTCTATTATTTAAAAAAAAAAGATTGTTTATAATTTTAGATATGTGTTGTTGTTGTTTTTAAGTTGACAGAGTTTCCAAACAATACCTCTCAGTAATAGTTTATATTTATCTGTCTCTGATTCTGGGTCAAATGCAAAGAAAATGTAAATTTTCAAAAACTCTCACACTGAAATTTTCCCATAAATCTGAAGCAACAAGTTATGACTTTAGGCAAAAACCCGTATATATATATATATATATATATATATATATATATATATATATATATATATATATATATATATATATATATATATATATATATATATATATATATATATATATATATATATATATATATATATATATATATATATATATATATATATATATATATATATATATATATATATATATAATCTTTACTGTCTGAACATGTTTTTTACTATTTAGGTGTGAAGATTACTCCTTATGCTACCGGTCATCTAAAACCTTAACTGAATCCGTCACTGTTCTCTTGAACAGATGGATGAGTCTACCCATATCATTGATTGAATGTATTAACATTCTAGAAATGTCTTTTTTGTCTAAATCTTTAGCTTTTTAAATCAATCTTTTTCAAATCTCTCCTAACCTAAGCCTCTATTGAACTGACAGTAAGCTATTAATTAAACAGACCAAACATTCTTTTTTGGAAAATACTATCAAAATGTGGTATGATATACATGACTACTTGGGGGAAGCATTAAAATGCATACATGTCTCCACTGGCAGAGCAGATGCTGGCTTCAAAGTTTGAAAAAACTACTCTAATGTCTTTTGAGCAACAATTTTGTTCTAGCCCATCACCAGACTTTTCTTTAAATACATCATAAATTGATGAATTTTATTACGACCAGGCAGGGTCTCTTCAAACCAACTTTTTCTCTCTTGAAAGTGCGATATCAAATAATTTAAGAGGTAAGTGTCAGGTCTCTTTATTATATAAATTGTTGATGAATACATCCAATGAATCTTTCCTAAAAATACTTGTGACATGGGAATGACCTGGCAGTAGATGAATCTGAATATACGAAGTTTCAATTATGCTTTGGTTCAAAATCAGGCAATTTATGTACAATCCAGACTCCTTCAATACAAATGGTTGACCAGGCATTATATTACACCCTCAAAATTGCAGTATTTCAACTCAAACATCCCTGATTGGTGTATTACGTAAATGTGTAATTGAAAGGGGCTTGTTATTTTATTGTATGTGGGAGTGTTCTGAGGTGAAGGATTTTTTGAAAAAATATTGAATTTACTTTGTGAAATTGTTGATTCTTTCTTTCCTAAGTTGTGTATTTTGAATATTTACCAAAAAGGATTTTGTACTATTTGCAAGCATTTTGTGCTATTGGAAACTGGTCTCTTGGAAGAGAAAATCTCTCAACAGAGAGAATCTGTTGGAAGGATCAAGGACTGAGTGGATTCTCTCAGTGTCTCAATGGTTTGACCTCTATTGCAGCTTTGGAGAGGATAACATAAACGTCATGGAAAAAAACTCCATAAATTCTGGGACATTTGGAGAAAGTTTTACAAATTTTTGGAAAATGAAAACCTTAAAGCTGTTGAGTTAACAGCATTGAGGTAATGTTGGTGCTTGGTTTTGTTCAGATTGTTTTTATATATACATATATATACATTTTATATATAATATATACAACAATAATCATATGGTTGTCTTTTTTTCTATCATCTCAAATATCAAATATCATTAATCTGTCCCCAACAATTATTTTTACTGACAGGTAAACAATTTTTTTTTTTTTTGACAAATTCTTATCATGCAGAAAATCATCACATTCTTTCCATCAATTTATTTTAATCTCTTTTTGCAGATGTACAATAAATAAATAAATAAAAATTTAATTATTGTAACATAAATAAAATAGACTTATAAAATCTTAGACAAGATTCTGAACTTATGTAGAGAAGGAAAAATATTTTGCAATGATTATGGAAAGTTAAGAATTTTTTTCATTTTTTTTCAAAGTCTATTTATTGAGCTTTTTCATTTTTTCCACAGAAAAACAAGACAGTCCAAAAGACATAAAAAAAAACTTATTCAGAGTCAAAATTCAGAGATTATTGTTCTATGTGGGAAATAAATGAATACGAATTTATTTCAAACCTAGTCATTGATTCTTTCAATGTATTTCTCGTTTTTTTCAATTTTTAAGAAAAACATCGTTCCAAATTAAGGCGGTAATTTTTCTAATTGAAAAGAATAAGCTGACGTGCCAGGAGGGAGGAGAAGGCCATGCCGTTCAAGAATTATTTTTTAATCCACTATACAGCTATATTTTAATATTTCCCAAAATTAAATCCAGTACAACCAACTGCTTATAAAGGTCACCTGCTCAATGTGCAGATATAACCACAGAGAAATGTTAAGCAAGCAGCCAATGGGCAGCAGAGCAGGAATTGCAAAGATTTCTGGAAGAAAAACTTTGCAGCCCAGGACTGGATAGAGGTGAAACATTATGATGACCTTCAAAAAACAGCCAAACCTGCAGGTTGATACTTCAGTTCAAAGCACATTCATCTGCTGAATACTCTATTCAATGTGCAAAACTTAATTAAATTGAAAACTTGTGGCCTACCACAATAAGTTATGAGTTTCTCCAGTCTATCTCACTAGTTTTGTCATGGAAGATTAAGTCTTTCTCAGTATGTCATTTATGTTCATCTCTACAATCAAGAACAGAAAATCTCTCTCAATCATCAATTATCTCTCACTTAACAATTATGTATTTTGTTACATAAGTCTGCCAACCTCTGAGAAGGTTGCAAGTACCCGGTTCGATCCCTGCAGTCTGCTCTCTGGGTTTCTGAGCAAAACCCTCAACCCCACACTGCTCCCTGTGTGCCGCACAATGGCAGCTCAATGTTCCCCAAGGTGATGGGTTAAATGGAGAGGTACATTTCTCCAATGTGAAATCAAAAAAGTTCCTTCATCATTATTATTACAACAAAATCACAATGAAATGTACTTATTATTTAATATTATTTTAAAAGCGTGAGGTTTATGACTCCTTCTGTATCCATAATTTACGTATGGGAGGGGTGCAACTTTTCAATTGTTCATCTGGGTGGGAGAAAGCAGTGGACCCAGAGAAGGAGAGACTGTAAGAGGCTTTTCTTTTTCAATCCCTAACAATAACTGTCACAAGCAGTCAGTGGATCAACTGCAGATGATGTTGACAAAGAAAAACCAAGAAGCAAGAAAAAACCCCGAAACAAACTGAAAAAAGTATATAATTTTCTAGTTAAACGTACACTTACTGGTGTTTAAAAAGCAAAACTCCACTAAACATAGAATAAATTATCAGCTAGGATCAAGAAAAAGTATCTTTTTTCCCTAAAGTTAATGTCAATAACTGTTCAACTATTTTATTTTTATTATCTGTGGCAGATCTAATGGGAATTTAATCTTTAAGACTAAAAAAAGTTTAGTTTTTACTAACTTCTTACAAAACTGTATTTTTAAGTTTTACTGGCTGTATGCACATATGTTGAAACCAGTTCCCATAAAATAAATAGCAGAAAGGACCTAACTAGGCTTTCAATTTACTTTTCTTTACATCTCCACCTTCTAGACATGCAAACATTCACATAACTGCAGTCCTTTGAAGGAAGAGTGTTCAAGTGTAATCTTGACCCATCCTTTATCCTTGGTGCGGCTCCCTCCCTCCACCTTACACACCTATCTCACCCCACCCCATCCTGCTTTAATGCTCCCAATCCTCTTTGTGGGAGAGTGACGTCTGCTACAGTCTGAAACAGAGCTCAGCAGCCATCAGGGGAACAGAGTGCAAAGAAGCTCCCAGCCTTGAGGGAAAACAAGCAAGACCAACTCAACTTCTCAATGCCTGAAGCAGGAGCATCCCTTCATAGATGAAATCATCCTAGAACTCTTTACCCTGCTTGATGACCTTTGTGCCTTCCATGTAAGGATCACTTTCAAGCCGGATTATAAACTCTCCTGGTCGTTCTCAACTTCTTTTTAAGGGATATTTCGGTGCTGCTTAATCTGCCTTTTTAACTGCACATATGTTTCTACAAACTTTAATACCTGAGGTTATGGTTTAACTGCTACTCAGAGATCAACACAACTGGCAAGAAGAACTAGTTTCCTGGTGTGCACATCTAATCAAACCGTCCCTGTTAATGAGATCATATAACTAACCAACGCACTGAGTGCCTCTCTTGAGATCTGCCGATGTTTACTTGGAGTGCAACGGTGTGATTTTAATTGTATGCAGAAGGTCTGAAGAGCAGTGTGTGTGTGTGGAGATCACAGACCTGGATTTCCAAGAGATGGATGGTCATGGTTATGACCGCTTCGGAGAGAGTGAGAGGGACAATTACCAAATTGACTATAGAAGGATTGTAGGAGACATGGAACCAGCAAGGCCTCGAGTCTCAAACAGAGAAGGGGAGCAGTCTCAGCACTCCTTCCTAGCTCATGCCCATCCAGCATCATATGGACATGGGCATGAGACTGCAGCCCAGAGGTACAGCGCCACACGAATCCAGGCTGGATATGAACTGGAGAGGTTAGTGTCCACACTATTGCTCTAAAACATGAAAACATGACTAACAAGCGATTGAAATATTCTAACTTTCTATTGGCAACAACCTCTTCCCCTTTCCAAGCCTATTTACCTGCAACCTTGGCAGTCAACCAAATCCTCTTACCTGCTGTGCTGCCTTCATGAGTATATAGGAGTTTCCATTGACGGTGTTATGCTCCTTTTGATAGCATTTCCTGTCTGCACTCCTGATCTAGCAGCAACAGGATTTACCCAGAGGTCAGGATGAAAATATTTACACCAAATAAGGTGAAATATTAATTTTAGATTTAATTTGGTTTTAATTTGAGACACCTTCAATCAAATTCCTCAGATTTTTATGAGTTTGAATGATTTAGAGCGAAATACGCATTGATGTTTATCAGCTTCACTTTGTTTCTACTTCTACCAAGTATTAGAGATTAATAATCCATGCCGTATTGCAGCTATTATTTGTAAGGATGTGAAATGTTCATCTGGTGTGTTTATGTCTCAGCTCGGCCGACTACTTGATCAGTGGAGGAACAGGTTATGTTCCCGATGATGGACTTACAGCACAACAATTGTTTGCTGTTGGAGATGGGCTGACATACAAGTAAGACCTTCATTCAAATATACAAGCTGCTAACTTACTGATAAAACTAAACTAATGATTTCCACAGCACTTCAACCCACAGGAAACACAGACTTAGTGATGACTTTTATGACAGCTAAAACTTGCAGTGATGACACATCTGCTTAGGCTTTAAATGGAGGATTAAAGTCAGGAGTAGTACTTTCAGGGATTCTGAGTGGTATTGCATCATTTAAAAGCGTGTTGGGTTTGTATTTTTGTGTGTAATGGTGTTGGTGGGTTTTTAGTAGGTGTGTATTTGTGTGTGTGTTGATACATCAGGTTGATTACACATACATAGTGGTAGTTATAATTAAAGAAAAGCGATCAAACTTGTTTTTATTTGTTATAAAATTATATATACAATATAAAAATTAATTAATTTATATTGTGTATATATATATACTCCCTGGAAACAGCTACACATGATTCAAATTTGTTTTATTGTTGTTATAAATAATATTAATATTTTCTCCTTTCTTTCCATGTACAGTGACTTTCTTATCCTCCCTGGTTTTATAGATTTTACTTCTGATGAGGTGGTGAGTAACTTCACATGTATGACTTTTCACAGGCAAAACATTACTTCTTGCAGATCTTTGACAAAACATTCAGAGTCGTCAGACATCTTACTTTGCAACATTTTCACCATAAACATTAATGTATTTGAAATTATATTTATAAAGCAAACTAGCCCCCTATACACCGATCCCCCTATAATGATACACAGGGCAACCACCTCCCTTCAGAAGTTATCCAGTTAGTAAATGATGGAGTCCACTTGTGTATCATATCCTAGTATGAACACAGTTACTTCAAAGATTTGTTGAAGTAAATTATTTATTAAAACAGTAAAAAACAAGGAATAGTCAACACAAGTCTGAGATAAGATTCAAAAACAAAATGAAAAGGGAATGGTTCAAATGCAAACTCACTTATTTTGATATGGCCATCTTCTGAAAGTGTTGGAGAAGAAGTGCTAAAATAACAACAGTTAATATAGAACCCAATGAGTTTAACAATTATAGAGAAAAAAAATCCTAGATTTTCTTTTTTTAAAGCACATCTTTCTAATTCCATTATGCACCTTAGTTATAACCACTGACTTTGCAATAAAGTTTTTATGACTAAAACAAATGTGAACATACTAAAACAGGACTGCAAGTAGAGTCTTGCTTATATTTAGATGCTTTTTAGGTTTCTGGTAGCAAACAAACAAGCATTAGGTTGTTTATTCCACTTAACCTATTTTAAAACTCTGCTGGGACATTAAATTAATTTCATGCCTAGTCACATGGGTGGTTGCCCCTTAGCAGGTGTTCAAAACACATATACACACCTGTGTCTTTCAGCACTTAGGAACTAGACTCAGCACTATAAGCCTTTAATGTGTCTAAACAGGCTTTTAAGCTTAACAGATTGCAGTTTGTAAAAGTTACATTTTAATTTCCATGTTTTATTTTAAAGGATATGACTTCAGCACTGACAAGAAAAATCACTCTAAAAACACCTCTCATTTCCTCACCCATGGATACAGTCACGGAGTCATCCATGGCTATTGCCATGGCAGTGAGTATATACTTTAAACATACGAACTGTGCATAACTGTGAATCTCAAAACATTGGGGCATCAGTTAAAAAAATGTATTTGGATTTAATTTGAAAAGTGAAAATCATACTGCATGGAATCCTTTCACCCAGTTTGATGTATTTGTACTGTATATTTCCATTCATTATGGCTTACAGTGATATATATCTTTGAGTGGACTTACATTTGTTGTATTGGATGAAGGACACATGCCTCTGAGGGCCAAAGCTATAATTGAAATATGCCACTGACCTGTTTAGTGACAGGAATTAAATTTTCAGTGTTATCTAATGGGTTGTTTACTTTTTTTTAATTTTCATTTGGGTGCTGTTAGCTGATGGGTGGGATTGGAATAATCCATCACAACTGCACTGCTGAATTCCAGGCCAATGAAGTGCGAAGAGTTAAGGTAAATTTAGAGATGCAGACTTGAATTTTCAATATAAAGATAAACTGTTTATTAGGGAAACACTAGCTTTGGATGTTCATAAAAAATGCTATATATATGCTATAAAATGGACTGGAGTTAGTCAATAAATACAAATGTGTTTGGATTTGCCAGAAATTTGAGCAAGGCTTCATCACAGACCCAGTGGTAATGAGTCCTCATCACACAGTGGGGGATGTGTTTGAAGCTAAGAGACGTCATGGTTTCTCTGGAATCCCGGTGACGCAAACAGGCAAGATGGGGAGCAAGTTGGTTGGCATTGTGACCTCCAGAGATATAGACTTTTTGTCCGAGAAAGATTACGAGAAACTTCTGGAAGAGGTGGGTGTGAAGCTGTGATTGGGAAATTTTTTTCATTTTATTTAGCAAAATGTTACAGGTATGATGGTCTTATCGAACCAGGCATACAGTACAAACAGTAACCCTTTGCATTTTGATTATTTGCCGATACAGACAATGACAAAAAGGGAAGACCTTGTTGTTGCACCAGCTGGAGTCACTCTGAAAGAAGCTAACGACATACTGCAGAGAAGCAAGAAAGGTTATTCTTAAAGAAAATTACTTGAATGATCAAAACCATATCTTTTTGTACTGATATGTAAACCTGTCTCTTTCAGGTAAGCTTCCAATTGTAAATGACAACGACGAGCTTGTTTCCATTATAGCAAGAACTGACCTAAAGAAGAACAGAGATTATCCTCTGGCTTCCAAGGATTCTCGCAAACAGCTGCTGTGTGGAGCTGCTATTGGGACCCGGGAGGATGACAAATACAGATTGGATCTTCTCATGCAGGCTGGAGTGGATGTGGTTGTTCTGGTGAGTCTGGAATATTATATGGTTCAGCCTTTGGTGGAGTTTATGCCCTCCTGCTTGTACTGGGTTTTCCACCTGCTCAGTGTGGACAGGAACCAGCACAGGTGGGACCCAACACTGTTTGGGCAACCAAGGAATTAATGATTATTATTTGTTAGGCTGAACTCACAAACATATAACTAATATATTTTAATGGTTATTTAAGCCACAAAATAATTTAAGCATAAATAAATAAATAAATAAATAAATATGGTGGAATTACATTGTGTAAATTGAATTACTGTATTAGCTTGTTAAAGATCAAACTTCATGAAAAGTATGTAGTCTCGCTCTCTCTTTCTTAAAAGTATGTTAATAATATCTGTTTCCACAAGTTGAAAGAGGAAAGTGAAAAACTCAAAAGAAGGGGGGACTTTGAGGTCCAACCAGAATTTTTTCATACCCCTATTTACTTTCTTTCAGAAAAATAGATCATATATTGAATGTTTTATTTTTTAAATAATGTTTCTTATCACTTTGACCAGAATATATGCAAACACAAAAAACAAGCATTTCTAACCTTAGTCAATTATAAGAGTCATTAAGGTTCTAATGGACAAAATGAATCTCACTCTTTTAGAACAACCTCATCAAATGTAGGTTACCAACTCTGGGAATTTTTTCTCGTCTTACTCCAAAGACGTTCTGTAGTGCTGATGATGCATCCCACCTTTACTTGAAACAACATTTCATCATTTAAATTTTAGAATTAATTATTTGAAAGAATTTGAAGCAGCCTCAATGATCTGTAATTGTTTTACTTGATATGTTTCTTTTTATGCACCTGTCATTTATTTTAATGTATCTATGTTTCTTATGTAACTGTGCGGCCTCTTGGCCAGGACTCCCTTGAAAAAAGAGGTTTTTAATCTAAATGGGATTTTTCCCCCTGGTTAAATAAAGGTTAAACAAAAAATAGATAAAAAATTTGTATCAGGGAATGTGTTGTTTTTCATTTCACCTATAACAGTCTTCATTGTGAATATTTATTAGATTTTATTATAATTTTAAAAGATTTACAAACAGTGTGTGTCATTAAACTGACTGTTCCACTGAATCCGTCTTGTGATTACAGGATTCATCTCAAGGAAATTCAGTCTATCAGATCAATATGATAAACTACATTAAACAGAAGTACCCAGATCTACAAGTAATCGGAGGAAATGGTGAGTGTACCTTCTGTATTAAATATCTTGGACCACATTTATTTTGCTCATCTTTCCGCTCTTTCCTGCTTCTCTGCCTCTCTCTAGTGGTGACAGCTGCTCAGGCTAAAAACCTCATAGATGCTGGTGTGGATGCTCTGAGGGTTGGGATGGGATGTGGCTCCATCTGCATTACCCAGGAAGGTATGAATAATGCCAAAGAGCTCAGACAACTTGTGTAAACTTGTCAATTTTAAAAATATTTGTACAGAAAGTATTTTTTTCCCAAAACATCAGTTGTATGCATCTGTCTCATGTTATTTATTCCTTCCTGAGTTATGGCATGCGGACGACCCCAAGGAACATCTGTTTACAAAGTTGCAGAGTATGCCAGACGTTTTGGAGTACCAGTAATTGCTGATGGAGGCATTCAGACAGTAGGGCATGTGGTGAAAGCTCTTGCCTTGGGAGCATCTACAGGTACATGTGCAGGACTCTTATATATTTGTTAGGCCTACTTACTTTCTGTTCAATGTTGAAATTATGTTTTTACCTCTTTTGCTAAAGAGGCTATTGACTTTAGACTATGTTTAACATAACTGTCTTATTTTTGACTTTTTGTCAAAAACATGACAAAACTAAAAAAATACAACTTTTCTGATTCTTGCGAAATGTTTAATCCCATATTTTTGTCCAATCTTTTTTGTCATCAGTGATGATGGGTTCTTTGTTAGCAGCAACCACAGAGGCTCCTGGAGAATATTTCTTTTCAGATGGCGTGCGCCTCAAGAAATACAGAGGAATGGGCTCCTTGGATGCCATGGAGAAGAATAACAGTCAAAAACGTTATTTCAGGTTTGAATAATTTTGACACTGGTACTAGGTAGCTAAGGATGGTGCAGCTTTTCTATGGCTGTTATAGGATAAAGCCTCTTAAAAGCCTTAAGGAAGGGAAATCTGTTAGCAAATATGCTTTTAGCTGATATTTGTTTACAGAGCATCACAAGAAGAAGTACATTAGAAGCAAAATATTCTGTTATTTTATCCATTAAAGTGAAATTTTTAAATCTCTTTCATTGAAGATTTGACATACAAGGGATACTGCACTGAGGGATCACAAAGCTACTGCAAATCAAAAGTTGCACCACTAACCAGCATGCTTAAAAAAGAAAAGAAAGTAATCGCAATAATTTACTTCCTGTTTAATTTTGTTTAAAATAATTAATTCCTCTTTGAGGCATTTCAATCCAATTTCAAGCCCATGGGTCAACATTTAGAATATAATCATTGTAATCATGCTGTCACAAGTACAAAGCAACAAAATGAAGTCTCTGCATTTAACGCATTCCCTTGGGGAGCAGTGGACCACCATTGTGCAGCGCCCCGGGAGCAGTGTGGGGTTAAGGGTCTTGCTCAGGGATCCAGAGTGGCAGTCTGTGGGAGTAGGGCTCAAACTCAGAGCCTCTGAGATCCAAGCGCAGTGCCTTAACCACTGGGCCACCACTCCTCCTAAATTTAAATACAAAATACTTAGGTCCTGATGCTGTCTTGGGAAGTAATTGATGTAAATACACAAATGTGACACACATACTTTCAAGATGTGACAGGGATCAATGTTTCAATAAATCCTCTAGTTTGTTGTTTTGTCATGTTCATACTCATGTAACACATGCTTTATTATACAAGATTCAAGATTCAAGAGACTTTATTGTCATTCACGTCACGTGTTACATGAGGTAGAACGAAATTGAGAGTCACGGCCCCAGTTACATCCGAAATACACCAGCATAGCTAAGAAGACAGAAAACAGTGTGACAGCAGCTTTATAAATGACATATAGTATAAATACGCACATTTTTGCTATGAGGCAATTAAAATTTATTTTAATTGTACCTGGTAGATTAGATTTTTTAATTTGGTGTTACTAAGTCGTCTTTCACAATCCTGCTAATATTGATAGAATAGAAAGGCTGGTGAAAGCTTGTGTTTACATTTTGGACTAGGCAGTAAAATCTAAACTATTCTGTTCTATATAACCTAACTATGTGGCTTCATTTTGTCCAGTGAGGGAGATAAGGTGAAGGTGGCTCAAGGGGTCTCAGGATCAGTTCAAGATAAAGGCTCCGTGCAAAAGTTTGTTCCTTACCTTATTGCTGGGATACAGCATGGCTGTCAGGACATTGGGGCCAGAAGTTTGTCTATTTTGAGGTTAGTATAAATGCATATATAAATATAGAATTTGTATTAGTCTGAACTCTGGTAAGTTTAGACTGTGTGTCGCGTTCCAGATCTATGATGTATTCAGGAGAGTTGAGGTTTGAGAAGAGAACCATGTCGGCTCAGATGGAGGGAGGAGTCCATGGCCTCCACTCGTAAGCATGACAGTGATCTTTCTACCTCTTTCGCTGTGCTTTGAAGTTCTTATGACTGTGTATAGATGTCCATTTCATCAATGGGAAACTTTTGATTTAGTGTAGACTTTCATCACCTATTTCCTCTTGTTTCCTTAACTATGTGTCTTTGGCATGAAAGTGTTTTGAGACATTGAATACAATTTTGCTGTTGAAACATCAGAAAAATCATTTTTCCTTCTTTTTTATGCCATCTTGTTAGATATTCTTTTGTGCCATGTAAGTAATTTTATACTTTCATCATTGTGCCTCATCCATGTTGATGATACCACTTTTACTAATAACATATGTTATTTACTTCATTTTGCCAATTCTAGTTACAAGAAGTGGCTTCAATGATGCAGGAGGACGAGGAAACACGAGATCAGGACCAAATGTCCCAACCCCGGCTGCTCTGGGTCGATGTAATGGACTCATGTAAATAAATGATTGACACCAAGTTGATATTTTTAAAATATAGCTCTATTTCCACTAAAATAAGGTGAAAGAGCAAAGTTATAGAATACAGAAAGTCAGACCATCCAGTAAACTATCTGCCTGTCTTCACAACAGTAGAAGGCTGGAAACATTTATAGCTCTAATCTGCTGGATTTTTCATTACACAACATATGCCCTCAGATGCTTTACATATAGGTTATTTATTGCTGATGATATAATGAAAAGTAATTCAGTTATACTCTATCAAACAAGGTACAACACTGTACAAGGTACAAGGCTACAACACTGCTTTAGTATATTGCAAGAAACTATTATAATTAGTTTACAGAGTATTTGGTCTCAGAGTGCAACAAATATCAACTACAATATGGTCACTGGACGTTTTATGATTGATCTTATAGCGTTGACAATATACATGCAGTATGTCCATTAGAATAGTCAAATATTATGTTTCAAATTCTAGAGAAACAGCAGGGATTTCATCAGAGGGCTCTGTGATGCTCTTTTGTTAATAAAGGTATAAGTCCAGCAAATTCAAACTTAAACATCAGTGAGACAGTGTTTTTAAGTGTTAATGATCTATCTTTTATTATCAACCAAAGTTTATAATCTACAAATTGTCCATTATTAGCAATACTTTTTAATTTGTCTATTTAAGCTCAATATATATAGCCTGGGTGCCAGTCCGAACTTAGTCCCGCCCACAAGGTTTGAGTTCGGGGAAGTTCGGTCTGGCTCTGCTCCATAGTAGCGCGAGTATTAAAGCCCACTGTCAGGCGATCCAATCAAATTGTCAGGGCGGGCTTTATACGATGATGGACAGATGATCAAGAGTAACGTTATCAACCACGTGACCAATGCGCGCTTGGGTGACAACAATAATGGCTACCGCTGGAGAGTTTGGGTGAGTAGATTCTGCTATTAGGTCTATTCTAGAAGATATCAACAGCAAATTAATTTTAAAAGAGGAACAGAGAAACGCGATCAAGTCTCATCTTCTTATTCTAGGCGTGAAACTGCACGCTTTGATTTTTGTGGACAACAACTATGCCTCGCTTAAGATACGTCACGCACTCCGTTGCTCTTATTGGTTGTAGGTCTATCCAATTGAGTGCAGAGGCATTTTTTTTCCTGGTTCGTTCAAAACACGCCCCATAATCACAGCTCTATGGAGCAGTATCAGACTCATATTCTGACTAGAATTGAGTCGGACTACGTCAGGCTACAATATATATATAAAAAGATCACAAACATACAGACTCCACCAATTATTGTAATTATAAAGTCTTATCTGTCAGTTTGTAATGTTTTACCCATTTTGAGCTGTATATTAATTAAAGGTCAATGCATTGGTTTGCAAAAATAATGTTTTGTTGTTTTTTTAAAGTCTGTTATTTAATACCTTTTGGCACTATATACAACTTCAGGTGACTAGCGCCTCTCTTTTAATGACATGTTTGCATCTTGGCATCCTTTTCAGTTTACTTGGTTGTTGTTTATATTGACTTTTCTGCAACATTATTATTATTTTTTGTCCAAAGAAAATAGAAAATTACCTTATGATAGAACCATTAGAATATATAGAAATTTTAAGTGATTTCAAAGTTTTTCTATGTAAGAAAATGTTTCATTTCCACCAGTGAAAAGTTGTTTTTCTTCTAACCTATAGGTTGTAGCCTAATACATAATAATATACCTCAGTTCAGACAATTGAATGTATGATGAAATAGTATTAATATTATATTTCAAAATATATGAAAGTAATAAAATATCAAACCTAATACTGATGACAGGGGAATATATGTGGTTTGCTGTTCGGTTTTTATTTTGAAGATTCTGTATCTGTTTTAATAATGGTTGGGGGGAACACCAATAATTTACAGCATATTAGGGTTTCTATTGTGTTAATAAATGTAAAACAAAATAAAAGCCACCTTTGGTAGAAAAAAAATGCTTAAAAAATGTATTTCCGCTTTTGCAAAGTTGGAGACCTGAAATACATACTAAAAGATTTGATTTCCTCAAGGAAAGTATGAATACATTGGAATAACCAGCCTACTGGATGAAAGGTTTCAAAACAATGCAAACAAGGGTCTGAAATGTGCTCAGTAAGAGTGCAGCCCAATTTCTGTTTTTTTGTAAATTTTAGCATCATGTTCTTTACAGGACAGGAGACATATTTAGCAGGGTAGGTCATCACAGGTTCTAAGTAATATCAGGTCAATTTTATTGTCTTTACTCTGTGCTTTTAACTCATATTTGTTTTAAAACATATTTCCTTCAATCAGTGCTGTTTGCCCTCCACCTTCTTTATCTTTGTTGTTTTGGGGTCGTTTTATACCCAGTTGATCTTAAAATATGTATTCAGTAATGCTGACAATGCATTATTCATTATCCTTCATGATAACAAAATTGATAATAATAATGTTACCTAATGTCTAGTAAACGTACAAGTGTTCTGCTTCAATATGATTCTGCAAGTTTGTTGTTCTTCTTGGCATTTCCATTTAACACTTGAACACTAATATGTGAAGAGATGTAAGTTTTGTGACAGTAAAATAAACCACAAACATTAAATCATGTAATGTTGTTTTGCGGTGAAGAAAGATAAACAGTGAACCTACTGGATGGCTACAAATGTCTGCTGCTTGTTATGTGGCTAAAGATTTGCTGAAAAGAGTCAAAAATTATTTTTTCTTTGCTTTCTTTATTTCACTTTACAATATGATTTCAGTTATGACATTCGAACAAAGCATTTAGAATATAATTGTTTCCGATTGCAAAAAATACTAATAAAAATTAATACATACTTGTCTCGTACTTGTCTAATACACAGTTTTATTTTCATGGTGATTTGTGCGCTAATCATAGAAAAAAAAAAAAAAAAAAAAACATTCAAAATCTTTGTTATAAAAGTAAGATCTTCAGCACTGGCACTATTCAAAAATGTTAAATTTATTGTTTAAATTCATGAACACATAAAGCTTTCTATAAATATCTTGAAGTTTTTTGATAATTCAACACCACCTTTAAAAAGTACTACATAAATTGAAGAGCTAAGTGAAGCTTCTAAATTATCTTTAGTGGAACCTTTTTACAATTTTGGGGTAACTTTATACTAATTTCAATAGTTATTTATAAATAAAACAAAATCAAATGTGAAAAAGTATCAAAATGATGTCACATGGAGATGGTGAACACTTCATATCCATATGGTTGTCACAGAATATTTTTTCAGTTTCTTTGTCAGTCTCAATTTACAAGGAGGTGTTAAGGTTATTACATTGTAACCCTTACATTTGTACTGCAGATAAAACACCATTGTCATCCATTTTTCTAAAGGATAACTTTAAACATGATTTTAGTTTAATGTTGTGATCTGATTTCTGAACTGTATGGGAATAGTTCAATTTTGATGCGGCAAAAGCTTTTTGTTTATGTAAACATTATTTACAGATAATTCACCAGGCCGCCTGGAATCAGTTATATCAATTCTACCTACAATATAGGTGATATATATATATATATATGTATATATATATATATATATATATATATATATATATATATATATATATATATATATATATATTTATTTTTTTTATTTTTTTCAAAACCTCTCTACAGTATCATCTGTTCTTTACCTGAAGCATTCAATTCTATTACAATTCAATGGTGTCACTGCACATACTCAGGGCATCAATTTGTTTACATACATTAACAAACTCTGCTTGTACAGTCATATCCCATTCCAGCTGTTTGCTTTCACTGAGCTGCTTAGTTCCTGCTATTCGGCCAGAGACCTGACTGTCCTGGGAGGCCATGCTTAGAGTTCTGTATCTTCGGTGATAAGACAGAGAAGGTATTGCTCTTGGAAAGTTGCTTTGGCCCCTGTTTGTCCACGAATTTGAACGCAACTTTCCTGTTTGTTTTGAATAGTTGCACAAACCATGGGTTGAACCACTTATGCTTCCTTTCCAGTCAATTTGATCTCTTGGTATTGGTGTTTTCCTGTGAGAGAGCAAACTTGCTTGTGGTTGACAAGCCCTGGTACAGGACTTTGCATTTTCTTGATCCACGTCTCCACAAGATGAGGCACGGTATAGAGTATCTCCAACACATTTGGACCCTTGGTTTAATGTAACTTGGCCTGGAGAGCTCAATGAAACACTTGAGGAAGTATGAAACAATCTTTGTGGACTAAAAATGCTGTGAGAAAATAAGGACTCACTAAACAGAGCTTGGTCTATACTACGGGACAAGTCTATGGGAGATGGGGGTCGGAGGTCCCCAGTAGAGTCACTATCTGTACCTTCTGGTGGGTTTTGAGGTGTATGTAAAGGTAAAGAACTGTGGCTTAAGCTGTAATTGTCTGCATAACCAACTTCATTTGTGGGATTGTCAATCGCTGAGCAAAGAGCAAGAGTCTCTGACTGCTCCTTGGTGTTAACATCACACACCACCAGCTTTTCCTGCTTAACCTGGCACCATGGCTCATGAGTGGAGAGGGCCAGTGAGTTTGCTTCCTCCTGTGAGGCCCCACCGTTTTCTTGCAAAGGGGAGCTACAGGACAGACGGGACCAGGATCCTGGCCGAGGGTTGCTTATAGTTTTCAGAGAAGAGCTGGTGTTACAGAACACAGGATATGTTCCGATAATGCACAAACCTAGACACACTCCAATCTCACAGCACCTGCAGCCAATATGATAGCCCCACCAAGGCCATGGCTGGAAGCCAAAACCAACAACCCCACCAAAACCTAGAGCATGCAGTATCCCATAAAGCTGAAAACCACCACATCCTAGCAAGCATAATGAGCTGCCTATCCCAGCTCCTGCTGCTCTATCCCAGTCTTCCACCTTGGAAAAGGGGCAAAGTACAGGTCGTACTACTTCTGGTGATCCATTCTCTCCATTGTCACTCAGCCTGTAAATTTGTTTTGTGTTTCCTTGTTTCAAACAATAAAAGATGAGGTAGGAGAATGAAAGAAAGATGATTAGGAGGACAAACAAGCCCTGAGGGATCAAAATTATCACAGTAGGGAGACTATGGAATAACTGGAAGAGTCCAACACATCCTAGTGAGATCGTAAACTGCAACAGGCACATGCATAACAAAAGAGAAGGCTTAGGCAAAGCTGAGAATGATGTTGAAATGGCAAGTCGCAGCGAAAGATAGCTCCGTGTGTGCAAGGACAGAAGGAAGAAGGCCAAGGAGAAGGCTGATATCAAACAGGGCATTGGTAATTCTGAGAGCAGCTGGGTGACCAGAGTGGGAAGACGATCTTGGGCATTGTAAGCGTCATACAACAAAATGAAACCTTGGATCCCTGCAAATGCAAGAATGAAAATGTGTAGCATCATAAAAAAACCAACTCCAGGGGGGCACCGTAGAGGCAAGCCAAGCAGGCAAACCACAGAGATTAAACAAATCAACGTGAAGGCAGATCCCATACAGTAGATGTGTGCTTCCCACGCAAATCCCCATGTTGCAAAGGCCGAGTTCCAGTCGGAATACAGAGGTACCAACATGGCAGGGCTGAGAGCCAAAGAGGGCAGGAAGGGTTCACTTGGTGCAAAATCTTCTGGGTAGGTGGGAGTCCAGGACTGATCTGATGTTTTACACGGTGTGGTGGATATATCCATGTT